GGGAATCTCGGCTCCGGTGCCTGGAGCCCCTCCTGCCCTCCTGCTGCCCTGGCCTGGGGGGCTGCAGGGCTGCTCCTCTCACGTTTTCTGACTCCCCTCTCCCAGCTGCTGCATAGTGGGGTTTTTTTTCCCCTTTCTTAAATAGGTTACTATAGAGGTACCACCACTGTCACTGACAGGCTCAGCTTTGGGCAGCAGCAGGACAAATGTGGAGCCAGCTGGAACCAGCTGTGTCTGACATGGGGTTAGTTCCTGGTGTCTTCTCACAGAGGCCACCCCTGCAGCCCCCCTGCAACTAAAACATTGCTACTCAATAGCAATGGGGGGCCTACTTCCCCCCGTGCCCCAAATTTCCCACTGCAGCTTTCTTGGTCTTGCTCACTGCACTGGCAGTAAGAAAGTGAATGCACGTAAGGCCCCGTGCCATCGCTGTTCTGTTACTGTTCTGTCAACAAGATGGTTCTGAACAGGGTTTGTTTACAGGATGGCTTCTGTACCAGCATTTGATTTATATTAGTGCGCTCTCTTGCCATGACATGTATGACTGAACTCGTAGTAATGCGGCAGTGGAAAGCAATTGAAGAATTGCTAAAGGAGTTCCAACTATAGCTCCTATTTATATCAGCAGTGACCTAAAAATACACTTCAGTGGTTGATTAAATGAGGGGACATTAGTAGTTAGAATTTTTTTTTTTTTTTTATCCTTACAGAAGTGTGAAAGGGTACACCATTATTATTATAATCATTAGGGACTGTCTGTGGTATGCTTCTAATGGTTTTTAGCTGTGGGTGGGTGTGAAAAATTTAAAACTGCAGAACACAGGTAGGCAGTTTTTTAAAGCTGCTTAAGTACAGTCTCATCAAGTGAGATTGAATCTAATACAGGTCTAGCTGGGAAAAGTCTGCATAAAATAAAACTCAGGTGTATCTCAAAGGCTTCAGGTTGTGATTAAATAGAGTGTTTCTCATGACAGCGATGCTTTTAAAGCCCTTGAGTTGGTTCAAAACCAAGCATTTATTTGAATTTCTTCAGTACTCTACCCTCATTTTTTGCTCCCATTCTTCTGTTACAGTGGAACATATCACTCCAGAGATGAAAGCACAGACAGTGGACTTAGCATGAGCAGTTATAGTGTACCCAGAACCCCCGATGACTTCCTGAACAGTGTTGATGAGATGGATACAGGTTTGTTTTTGTGTACATCCTTAATGCATGTTTTCAAAATATACTTGTGTCCATGAAATGCTCAGCCCCTTTGCAATGAAAACAAGCAACTCTGAGAAGCTGTGAATACTTCTCTCATTGTTATGCCACTTTCTTCTATTTCTAGAATAGAAATATTATAGTTAGATTTGTGAAAAACATACTTGTGATCGACTCTATTGGGAGGATGGGGATTGCTCAAAAATAGTGTCACTCTGTCGTTATGTGGAATTTGAGTGTCCGTTTGCTTTTTTAAATAATACTGTTTGTCCAGCACTAAGAATAGTACCTCATCCAGTGTTGCTAATACAGTACCAAAACAGTATTTGACTCAATATTGTCTTTTTCCTTTAAGTGTAAAAATTAAGATATGGTAAATGGCATCAAAGATCTGTACAGATTTGGGTCAGTAGGTGAAAAGGTTGAAACAAAGGCATGTTCTTTGTACATTTGCATGCAGTCAAGTCATCTTTGGTTTTTATGTTGGATTTCTATGAATCATGTTGCTTGTGTGATGCAAGAGATACAGGATTAACCTTTCACCAGGTGTCCTGATAAACTGTGGGTTTGGTACTTCCAGTATATTTAACGTTCATCTTTTTTTTGTGTTACAACTAGGTGACAGTATCAGCCAAAGTAACATACCGTCCCATCAGAACCGTTTCCCAGACTACCTTGAAGCCATTCCAGGGACAAATGTGGACCTTGGGACACTGGAAGGAGATGGGATGAATATAGAAGGAGAAGAACTGATGCCAAGTCTGCAAGAGGCTTTGAGCTCTGACATCCTTAATGACATGGAATCTGTCTTGGCAGCCACCAAGCTAGATAAAGAGAGTTTTCTTACTTGGTTATAGGGGCCTCAGGGAGACTGAATTCTATATCTGTGAAGGATCTAAGGAGAATAGGACATCTGTATCTGAAGTTCAGAACAAGCCAGTGTGGCACACTGGCTTGTGTTCAGAAAAAGTACATGAACAGATATTCAACAAGATTCTTTCGTTTTGCTCTTCCTTGTCCATCGCTGCTGTTATATATTGCTGACTTTTTTCCACAGTTGACTCTGAAGAACAGACATCTTCTTGATCTTTTTCTATTGCTGTTGCAACTACTGTTCAAGGGGGGTGGGGAGGGATGATGAGCCTATTTGGATGACGAATGCCATTCCTTTTGTCCTAGTGTGCGCTTGCATATCATTTTATCTAAGTACTCAGATTTGAGAGTTAATTTCTGCATGTCACTGCTTGTAGTTTGCTCAGATAGTTGTCTCCTGCTGCCTGTGGCAAGTGGTAAAACATGACATACTGGGGTGACAAGCCAAAAATGATGTATCTGGTCAAAAGAAGTCAATACTGATTTGGAGATACGACTTAAAGGAGGGCTGAAGACTGTTTGGCATTAAGTGTTTCTACTAGTAGCTCTTTCATTAGTCACAAAGTGCTCTTGTTCATATCTTATGTTATAGTAAATCATGAGTCATTTTACATAGAAACATATATGAACTTTGATTGTTGCCACATATTCTAGCCTAACTTTTGTTTGTCAAAAATAGTTTGATTATTTTTGTTAGTTGGTTTAACTGTAGCTGTAGGATGGGAAGTAATTATAGGTGTTCTTTTTTTAAAAAATAGTGAAATCCAAAGGGTTTTTCTGATTTCACATAGTCTTATTTAAATCTGAATTGTCTGCTTTTTTTATACTTAAAACATGCCTATTGTAGCCTGATAAGCTAGTGAGTACATAAACCAGTATGTTTTGCCTATAACTTTTTTATTTTTTTAAAAGGCTAGCTTTGAATGTAATCAATTAGAATTCATGACCAGTGGCTTATTTTTCATGTTTATTTGCAAGGTTTTGAATTAGAATCTGATTGCAGAAGTGTAAAAGTTAGATTCCCAAGTGTCATATGTACGATTTTTAAATGCGTTTTAAAGTAGCAGAAACCATTTTAAAATGACAGATGCGTCTAATCTCTCTTCTGGTTTTCAGTTTTGATATCTAAGCGAGTTTAGATTTTAAAATCCTTAATGGGAAAAAATTTTATGAAAAGTTTCTCTTAAGTTAGCATGGAAAAGGTCTGAACTATTAATATCACTAGTTGCAATGAAAAGGCTAGAACACCAGAAAAAAAAAAAAATCCTCAAGAAAAACTCCTAAGTGTAACAGTTATCAAATTCTGTTTGGTGAAAAATAAGCCCTGGACGCTATATGTAGAAGAATGTAAAGATATGTGCTAGATGGTGACATGAGCAGGTAATGAAGTGTATATTAGTAGTAGAGCTTAGCATGGGGTAGAGGTGAATATGAATTATCTTTATTTTAACAGGAAGAGATGTATCACTAAGTTGTCTGCAGGAGTTGACACAGCTTCCAAAGAGTATTTTTAAATGAACAAAATGAGCATGAATCAAACTTTTAGTATAAGCTATGAAGTTTCATGGGGCTTTTGTTTTTTTCTGATGAAAAGTAGTGTCACCAGTTAACACCTCTCTAATTAAGGGCCTGTCGCCATTCTCAACATGAGCCTTTATTTTGAAGGGTGTATAACTTGACAATAAAGATACTGTAAGTGTGAAACCTGGTTTTGAAAAAAATCTCAGCTAGCAGGGGCTTCTGCTGGGGAGAGATTTGGGGGGGGGGAGGGGTTGTTTTGTGTTTTTTTAGACATTGATTATTTTTCAAGTTAAGAGTGAATCGGCAAAACAAAACAAAAAGAAACCCCTGTATTACTATTATCATTTGGATTTTTTTATGCTTCAAAAATAGCTCTGTTTTCGGATAATGTAAAGAGTGAAAACTCTGAAGCAAGTCTCATTTTAAAAACTGAAGCAGCAGAGGCGCAGAGGTTTGAAATTTGCCACTATAAATGTACATTTACTACTTCACATAAGGATGTCAGTGTTTGAAATACACAAAATTGTTTGTGGCTTGTTATGGAATACAGGCAGGTTTTAAAATACCAATTTTCAAAACACATCCACAATGACAAATATATTCTGCTACACCAATAACTGAACGATTAATAGGCCACTTATATTGTGCAATGACACAGTAGCTCCTAAAGCAGTATATTGTGTCCAAGATAGGGATTTTAGTAGCATTTTTACGATTTCATTATGAATTCTTCTCTTTTCTTCCCTTCAGGAAAAAAAGACACTAAGTTGTTGTAACTTGAATGGTCTGACATAAAACCACAACAGCAAGGAAACACAGAGCTGATTCCATTTCAGTTGTCTTCCACAGTTGTGTCCAGGTACAATAGCACATACGATGCACTGAGTGCAAACTCCTGACAACCTGTACCTTGCTACAACAGGGATGAGTACAGAACAAATTTTCTTTCCTTGCTTTTGTGCATTTGTCACAGCTTTAATATTTGAATGTTTTCTTCTCATTGTAGAAACACTAAATGGCTTATACTGTACTCGGGTAGCACTGCTTAGGGTAGATACTGACAAACTGGGAATCCTTGAACTACTCTAACATTAATTCTGTTTTGTGATACTTATTTTAAGTGATTTTAATACATTTCCGTTCTCTCATTTATTAGGAACCATACCATAGAGATGCTGTACTGTTGGCAATCAACATTAATTTGGATTTTTTTTTTTTTTTTTTTTTTAATTCTGCAAATGCATTGTTTGATGGAGTGGTTAAAATTGTTTGAAATGCAAAAGTGTTTTGGGTAGTATTTTATACTGATGTATATATTGAAACAGAAATCATTGTAATAATTGTAATAGCTTTAGTTATAAATACACTACATGCAGACAGATGGGGCTGTACAGTACTGTGCTGTTCAATGCCTGGGCAGGGCTACTGCTTGGAAACAAGTTGCAGTGTCAGTGAACCATACGGATCAAATATTGTACCATTCAGTGTTGGCGCTCACCAATGCAAAAGGAGAAGAGACGATTTCAACATGATTAACACTACATAGCTTTCACACATCTGGTAAATTAGTACTAAAGTGACCATTTCACTTACAAGCATGTTTTTTTTTTTTTTTTTTATACAAATTAACAGGTGTGCCTGTGTAAAATAATTTGTTTTCTGTATCTTGGAAAAAATACTCTCCACATTTAGAATGTTGTATGTTAGAGAACTCTTAAATGCACCCTTGTCAAAAATTATATATATTAGTTACCAATGTTACTTTTAGATATGAGCATGACTAAGTTAGGTACTTAAGTACGTTCTGTTACATTATTTTTCTTTATGTAATACTTTTTCAGTTGTTTTATTTGGTATAAATATATACTTTGTGCTTAAACATCTTTGTTTGTTTTTAACATTCAATAGTATGTAAAGATACTGATTTCCTTCAGTAAGATGGATGCATTGAATTGTTGGAATTCCTATAGCGGTATGTCTGTTCTCATCCCCCTTGTCACAGCTTTCGTAGTCATAAACTCCATTCCTGCAAACATTGTGGACAAGCTCACCTAAGAGACAGAGGAGTCCCACTGAAGTCAGTGAAGGCGTAGCATTAACGTATGCATCTCTGGGTGTTTGCAATATTGAAGAGACAGTGACTCTACCGAGCCTCATACAGTTTGTGTAAAACAGTAATTGCATGTGGCACTGTAGTGAGAGCTGGTAACAGAATGGCGGTTATCTACTGTAAGAAAGCATCCGCTCTTTGCAGATATGCTTGCAACGTTCAGGATCTTCCCACGTAGCAGATACGTTTTGGGCTAACTCTTAAGTTTATACAATAATTTGTGGCAGACTATCAATAAAGACACACTATTTTCATTTCCAAGTTTTGACTTATGAATTGTGAACTATGTAATGACATACCTTGAAAGTGTCTGAAGATTTTTAGTTTAAAAAATTTCGTTAGGATTCATTAATTTTGACCTTCTGCAAAACAGAAATTCCGAAAGGTTGTTTTTAATGTAATGCACTTTGTCATGGCTGAAGTCATCTGCTACTTGCATTTTAGCTGTTCCAGAGTTACTGCTCTTCAGCGCTGAAATGCCTCAACCCTGTGAAATTCAGTGCAGTTGCGCATTTTTCTTATTTTAAGGTCCAGGGCTCAGTGCTTCTATCAGTTTGTCTTTTACTTGTGAGTTCGTAGCTGGGTTTAGTCACTCAGATCCTTTAAATTTAAACCTAACATCACACCTTGCACCTGGGAGTAGAAAGCCAGTGCCAGGGCATGACAAGGCACCAATTTTGTTTGCTGATATCACTCTCTGCCATTTATAAGGTGGTGACATACTGCAGTAGTTGAAGTATGAGTGACCTTCTGAGGCAGCCCTAAATAGACCGTATTACAGCAAAGCAGGGCATCTGGTCCAGGTGTTCCAGGCTCACTTGGCAGTTCTTTCTGAAATATTTTCAACACTTAGTTAAAAATAAAAAGTATTGGTTTCAGCAAGCCAGAAATAGTGTGCTTCAAGGAAGCTCTGAGACTTCCCTGTGCTAACGTGCAAGTTATCAGCAAAAAAAGCATTTTTCACCTAGGATCATTAATAAAATCATTATTTGAGATGGGGCTACGATTGGTCTAGTACCTCCTGTTCCGGAGGTTCATTTGGAGATAAAGTGGGGCCATAGATTTTATTTACAGCATCAGCAATCCACAGTGGCTGTGCTCCTGTTGAAGAGTAAAGGTGTGCTTCTCGCCCCTTGTCATCACCACTTACTGTTGCTAACAGCAGTTATCCGCACCCTCTAAATTTAGATGTCGTCAAAGCGGGAAGACATCTCTACAGCATGAAAAATCTTGGCTTACCTGAAATGGTAAAACCAACGCTAACTGAAGAACCAAACTGTCTTCAGAGTGTTGGGTGGAGCTTTGTGCCAACTATCCTATCCAGTGCTTAATGTCTCTTAAACAAAAAAGCCAGCTGAATAAGAAAAAAAAACAAGCAAAAAAGCACATTGAATAAGAAATGTATAAACACCAGTACATCTGACAAAGCTGCCTAATGGTTCTTGTGGAAAAGTCATGATTTTTACTTCTCTTGACCTACTCCTCTCTCTCTAATGCAGAAGTTGTAAGAGTGAATGCTACAGATACAGGCTGTTACTGACTGCTATTATTTTCTCAGTCTGGGAATGAAGTTGGTCACTCTGATTATAGTATTTTTTATATTAAAATGGCTTGTATTAGAACATGAGAGGCACAGAAATTTTATTGGATTTTCCTGTCTTTTTATTAGCAAATGATTTTTAAAAAAAAAAAAAAAAGGGCGGGGGAAGTCAGGAGCAGCCCAAGAGGCGCTGTCCTCAATGTTACGCAGCAGCGAAATAGAGCTCCATAAAAATGGTATGGTAGATCTCACCTGAAATGCCCTTTTGCTTTCTCCCCTATATGTCATTTCTGAGCTACTCTAGTGTTTTTTAAATTATTTATGGTATTTACCATCTGCGAGTTTTGCTTGCCTAACACCTAAAGACTGGGACCGCAGCGCTGGGTGCTGTTCGTCCCCAGAGGAGAGCAGAGTCCCCCCGAGTCCCTCTCCAGAATTCAGCCGTCGCCCTGTTTGAAGTCTGTAATACAGTGCAGGAATTACAGCCTGACTCCCAGCACCCTGCCCAACCACTCTTACGGGATGGTTATTGCCAAGCACGGTTTTTTGAACCATGGTGGATTGCTCTTCTGGTTTGCTTTCCCAGAGGCTGGAAAAGTTCAGCTTTCCCATTTCATTACTTCAATTTCTGCGGGTGGTTGTCAGCAGGGGCATGGAGGGCCCCTGACGCCAGTGCCACCATGCCTGCTGGAGCGGTCAACCTGATGTTAACAGTGATTTTTTTATTATTTTTTTTTTAAAGCTGGCAGTTTTATTCAGTCTTTCACTCATAGCTTCATTGCTAGGCATGCCAATACAATTGTCTCTGCTCTCTTGACTGACCAGTGACCCTTTTCAGATGTCACCAAGCGATATGACCCTTTCCTAGCCAGCATCTGCTGCTGAAGAGTGTGATCCGGAGGCCTCTGAGAGGTCCAGCTCTAATTCTGGACTTTCAAAGTCTACAGTTAAAACAAGGTACTGGTTACATGGATGTATGGCAAAATCCCAGACCCACACTTCTAAGAAATTGCGTGATTTAGGTGGTGATACCTCACAGCAAATGTCAGGAACTGTGAGATGCCTTCTGGTTAGACCGGTGGCCTTCAGCCCATGGTCTGCAAGGGGCTATGGATGCCTCTTCAGTCCAAGAAGCTGCTGGCCAAAGGAAAGCCTGTTGGGCAGCCTTACACTTTGTGCAGGAGAGATTCAGCCTGCTGCTGAGGGAAGTTTCAGTGCCTACAAAAGGCGACAACTGCTGGACTTGTTGAAGCCCCCCCACTGCTGCAGGCTGTACCTGCCACCACCCCCATGCCCACCCACCCGTGATTCTAACAACAGCTTTAAAGCCCTGGCTTTTGGATGTGCATACACCAGGATGTAAAACTGCTTTTATTTCTTAATTTTCATTTTTCACTTAAGATATGACTCTCCTTTTAAAGGTCTTTGTTCCTGTTAACAGCCTTTCAGGATCTTTCTCAAATGCAAGACTAAAATAGCCTTTTGAGCGTGAAGTAATGGAAGCTGAGCTTACAATGAGAAATACCCCAGAG